GAGTGGCTGGTGGATTTGAACCACCAGCCTTCTGGTTAGCAGTCAAGTGCCTTAGCCACTATGCTACCAGAGCTCCCTTAAAATTTAATTATATATCTATATACTAGCAAAATGGTTTATAAGTATATTTAATTCTAACCAAGTTTATGTATTCTCAGATTATTATTTTGTTTTTTCATTCTGCACAGATACTAAATAAAATATTTCCTGTTTATTCATATTTTAATATGAATGAAACACTGCTCAGTCATGTGCCATTTTCACAATCCTCTCTACAATAAGCCAATCATTGCAGTCACTGTGTCAATCCATCTTGTTGAAGGTCTTTCCATTTTTCATTGACACTCCAATTTACCAAAGGAGCTCTGGTTGTGTAGTGCCTAAGATATTTGACTGCTAACCAGAAAGTTGGCAGGACAAACCCACCAGCCACTCCATGGAAGGAAGACTGGGCAATCTACTTCCATAAACATTTACCACCGGAAAAACCCAAAGAGGGTGGCTATGAATTATAATCAACTCAATGGCAGTGAGTTTGGAGTTTGTGTAGTTGCACAGTGGTTAAAGCATTAGACTGCTTACTAAAAGAGCAGAGCTCCAAACCTTCCATTCTCTATGAGAAAGAAATAGGAGACATTCTGATTTCCTAAAGATTTACATTTTGGAAATCCTATGGGGCAGTTCTTCTCTGTCCTACTGGTCGTAATGAGTAGAAATCAACTTGATAGCAGTGGGTTTAGATTTTAGTTTTATACTTAAGAAAGCATTGATCTCTTAATATTCAGGAGAATAATAAATTTTGTAATATAATAATTATTTAATAACATAAAAAGAGTGACTTTTTTCTGCTCCTTTAAAAAAAAAAAAAATTAAATAGAGTAAAAGCAAGTACACCAAAAGGGTAAAGCAAATTACACAGGTCCCTGTGTAAAGCAATTAGATGACAAGGCCCAACTTGAATGGAAAATGCACAACCCTACTTTTCCTGTAATGCCTCAATCTGTGCAATACTGACAAATATTCCTGGAGGGAAGTTCACCACAGTGCACCCATCACTACATAATGAACAAAATTGTATGTTTTATATAATGGATTGACATGGTGGCTGCAACAGTGAGCTCAAATATCAAGGATCATGGGGCTGGTGTGGGATCAGATGGTGTTTTGTTCTGCTGTGCATGTGGTCGCTATGAGTCAGAAATAACTCGACAGCACCTAACAACAACAACAATGCAACATAGATCAAGGTGTATTATTAGTGTTTAGTCATAAAATGAGGATAAGATACTGAATGCACAGTGTAATAATTGATGCAATACATAAGAAGTCATATAAGTAAACATTTTAGGCACAAATAAAACAATTGGAAGAAAATGTATCAAAACATTAACAATACTTTTGAAGGAGTTTCATTTTCTTTGAATATTATTGTATTCTAACTATTTCTAATAAACAAATTTTATTCCCATGATAGTATAATACTTGATAAACGTAATTCAAAGTAAAAAATGTGCTGTTCTGCCACTCATAGTTAACCACTTGACTTCTACAGAAAAATTAAGCATTTTTCTAGAAATGGTTTCTCCAGCATCCTAGTAACAAATTATGGAGGATCAAAAAGTAAGACTTAACCATCATGCTCCTCAATGTGTTGCTTCATAGGGTCTAGGCAGCTGTCTGTTACAAGCCTCACATGAATCTATTATCCTTGAACTTTTACGCTTGGAAATGTGCCAACCAATCTCCCTGGGAAATTGCACAAGGATGACCAACTGTTGCACTGTCAACAACCTCTAGTATATGTGTCCTGGATTATTGGAGAAGAGGAAAAGGATTCTCTCTTTTGCTTATGTTACACTGGCTTGAATATATGTATTTATTTATTTTTTGATACATAATTTCCTGGTGATGTTTACATTTGACTAGGACATGAACAACGTTGGGAGGTTGATTTTCTTAACTCTAAAAAAATACATGCATGAAAATATAAAATTAACACACCTGAAAGAAAACCAATACTATATCATGGAAACTTTCATCTTCTTAGACTTTTTTTTTTTTTTTATGTTTTATTTTGAAGAAAAACTTGAGCTTGACAAAATCCTTGATGTGTAATTTTTGAAGAAAAATGTTCTCATCAACTTTGATTCATGGTAAGTATTATTCTGAGAATTAGAGGTGGTAAGTCAGATACAGAAGCCTTGGTGGCATGGTGGGAAAGCACTAGGCTGCTAAAACAAACAGCAGATGTGCACACCCCCCAGTGACTCTGGAGGACAAAGAGGGGACAGCCTGCTTTTATAATAATCACAGAACAACCCAGTCCTTGTCAGGTAATTCAACACTGTCCTATAGGGCTGCTATAAGATGGAGTTGAATCCAATCAAGGGTTGTGGCTTGTTTTAGGTCAGATAAAATAAAATGGAAACATTATAAAAACAGACATAGACATAGACATGATATAGATATAGGTGTTTAGGCCTTGCCTTAAGTAATTCCAATATATGTTGAAAGAAATTTACAGAGTTGATGCAATCAGTTATATGCAAGCAATGTTCATACTTGGGAAATGTAATTTTCAAACAGAATGTGATTTTGTGTACTCAAGTTAAGAACACAGCATATGTTTTGTGAATGAATATTCTGTGGTGTATGATTTCAACTCAGCACAGTTAAGAACCTCAAAGTTGAAATTTCTGATTGTCACTTGTATAAAATAAAACTGTAATGAAACAGACAGTAACTATATTAAAATACTGTTTCTATCATTGCTTATTATACAGTTAAATTTTTTCTCAGGAAGCAGAAATTAATTATAGTGTTATGAGTATACTTAATTTCTAATAAACCCAAAACATTTTATATTTAATAAACCTAACATGATAATAATATAACCAACATTTACTAAGTCTGACATTAGATAAATTACTTAAAGTTCTGTGCCAATTTTCTTATTTACAAAAATAAAAAAAAACAAACACACTGTCATGGAGTCAGACCTGACTCTTAGCAACCCCTCCTTGGTTTCTGAGGTGTTATCACAATGGAAATAAATTGCACAATATTCCTTCCAAGGACTGCCTGGCGGGTTTGCCCTGCCAGCCTTTTGCTTAGCAGTCAAATGCTTTAGGAACTACACCACCAGAGCTCTCATTTACAAGTGTGGATAATAACAACACCTAGGACATGATATTTTCATGGGAACTGAATGTGTTAATAAAGTACAGTATTGAGAACACTGGAAGCTCCATTCTAACTTTGTAATAAGTGCTACTTGTTTATGTAATATTAGAATGTTAATTTATACTCACACTTATATATGGCAATGAAACTAAGATTTTGAGCAGTCATATTCTGTAAAATATTCTGTTTTCAATTTCTATATTCACAAGTATATTTAAAAAATTTTAAGATAAAATTCTCAAGTAATATTTTTTTCACATAAACAGAAACCTGTGTGAAGTCACTGTTGCTAAGTATCAAATTTAATCTCCTACAGTTTAGAGAAGAGACACACTATGGGTAGAAAGAACAATACAAATGTGTCTGACTTCATCCTCATGGGACTGACAGACTCTGAAGAGATGCAGCTGGTAATCTTCAGTCTCTTTCTCCTGATTTACCTGGTGACTGTGCTGGGGAATGCAGGGATGATACTGCTAATCCGCCTGGATCTCCAGCTTCACACCCCCATGTATTTTTTCCTCAGTCATCTGTCCTTCCTTGATCTCAGTTACTCCACAGTCATTACCCCTAAAACATTAGAGAACTTACTGACTTCCAACAAGAATATTTCATTTGGGGGTTGTTTCACACAGATGTATTTTTTTATCTCCTCAGTTGTCAATGAATGCTTTCTTCTCTCATCAATGGCCTATGACCGCTATGCAGCTATCTGCAACCCTCTTCAATACCCAGTTGTTATGTCCAGGATGCTCTGCCGCTCCTTTGTCACTGCATCCTATGTGATTGGATTTAGTGAGTCTTTTGCCATTGTGCTTTCCACGAACACCTTGCATTTCTGCAACTCCAATGTAATCCATCATTTTTTCTGTGACATATCCCCAGTTTTAGTCCTGTCCTGCACCGACACACGTAACATTGAGATCATTGTATTCATTCTTGGCAGCTTCAATGCAGTGGTGCCCATTATTACAATCTCTGTGTCCTATGTCTCCATTCTCTCTACTATCCTCAAGATCAAGTCCACGTCAGGAAAGAGAAAAGCCTTCTCCACCTGTGCCTCCCACCTCCTGGGAGTCTCCATCTTCTTCAGTACCATGACTTTTACTTATTTAAAGCCAAGTAAGTCCTATTCCTTGGGAAAGGAACAAGTGTCCTCTGTTTTTTACTCTATTGTGATCCCCATGCTGAACCCACTTATTTATAGTCTTAGAAACAAAGAAGTGAAAAATGCTCTCATTAGAGTGACGCAGAGGAGAGCGAGCACCAGGCATTTAGGGTGACAGTTGTAAATGATTGAATTTCATATTTTCCTTTTGTCCTACTGGATTTTTTTTTTTTTTTTTTTTTGTGGTGTCTTTCTCTCTAAAAACAGTGAGATCTTTCAATTATTCTCTTTCTTTTCATCCACTATTTACTGGACTATTTATGATCATGGATATTTCCAGCAACACATCTTTCCAGAAATCCTGACTGTAATTAGAAACTATGAAATATAAGTTAACCTAAGAGTTTAAATCTATATGCTTTTAAGGGAAATTCATGTGCAAAAGAAGAAAGTGTCATATCATTATTTAAACTGTATTGTACCAATCACCATACATATCCAATTTCAGATAATTCCATTATGAATAATAGCTAATTTTTGGTACAATAATAACAATTTCAAGAGTCAGACTGTATTATACAGAGAAGAAAAATAGCACATATAATGGAGTCATTAGGTGCTCTTGTTTTAGAAATAGACATTCCAGGTCTGCTACCCTTAGCTGTATGACTCTGAATAAGTTACTAACACTATAAACCTAATTTTTCTTAACTGTAAGAAGGAAGCAATAATTCCTATCCTCAAGAGTTATATTAAAGTTTAAATGTGACAAAATATCCTTTGTTATGAAGAATAAGAACAAGTTTTGTATGAATTATTTTTGTTAAGTTAATTTTAATTGACATACACACTGATAGCTAAAATATTAAATGTAAAAATCTCACCCCTTTACACTTTTGGAATCATAGTTAAATAAATGTTGCAGTATAATTAAGTACAGGAAAATGGTATGTGTTAGCATGGAAGAAAACTTGGAAAGCTATTTGAAAAATAGAGAAGTCCTACAAATTCTTGGTAGTTTTGTTTATGTTCAATTAGACTAATATCTATGTATGTATATCTTACACACGTTACAAAAATCCTGTGTTCTCTTGTCTCTTTGTTTCCACTTACTAGTATATTTGTGAATCCCTTTGTCATTAAAACCTTTGAAATAAATATGATCTTTGCACATGGGCAAAATTAGAGCTGTGATCTTGCTAGGGTTTTCCAACTTGCCATGTTTCATCATGTTGAAAACCTGCACGCAGTGATATAGTGTTGATGTCAATTCACAAAACAATTGAAAATCCCACCTTTTTCTGATCTGTCCACAAGCTTCAATAAACTGCTTCTAGTGAACTTCGCCAGCCACTCCTTGGAAGGCAGGTTGGGCAATCTACTTCCATAGTGATACTGCCTTGGAAACCCAAGGAGGGGTTGCTAAGAGTTGGGTCTGACTCGATGGCAAAATAACAAAACAACAAGAAGTGACTTTGATGTGTTTCAAAAAATCATTGTCTTCACCTTCATTTCTGTAGGCTTTTTTTTTTTTTTTAAAAACAGTTCTCAAAATGCTTCACTCATTTGTTTTCAAACTGTCAGTAGGGAAATACTGTAAAGCTAACGATTGGCAATCAATCCAGGATGAGAGGACCTCCTGAATTTTGGTCAGGGAGTTTGCTCAATTTCCTTCCTTCCTCTCAGCTTCTCTTTCTGTCTCTTTCATTCTCTCTCCTTCTCTTGCTTTTCCCCTCCCTCCTTCCTTCCTTCCCTTCTTATTCCTTTATTCCCCTACTAATTGTATAAGTGATATTTAAATTTGATCTGCTATTCAAAGATTATTTCATTTTCTATGATGATTATTATATTGTTTGCATTCTGTTGATATGTTTAATTTTAAATATTTGCATTAAATATTTCTTTTTAAAATAATGTTTTGTTATTTGTTATTTTCCTTCACTTGGATGTTTAAAATTATATGCAAACTCACCTTTAGGATTAAAAACGTTTACCATTTCCACTACTGGAGTATTGATTGATTTTTTTTTTCAAAACAATTAGATCAATATTATTTTTCTTAATATATGTTGTATATAAGTCTTACATATCAATACTGTATAGAATCATTTCATTGTAAGTTATTTTTCTCTTTGAAGCCTGCATGTCCTTGACTATATATTTGTTGATAATTATAAATGAGTGATAAGTATTTTTTAAATAATAACATTGCTTTGCCCACCTCTAATCTTATAAATGCATCATGGCTTTATATATTTATTTATTTATATTTATATATTTATATATATATATATTTATATTTATATTTATATGTTGTTTCCACTATTCTGGTCTTTTCTATAACCTATGCTAGGCTTGTTGTCATTCATGTTTTGTTTAATGTATACTGTCAGTCTGCATTGGCAAAGATGACCAACACATTCTAAGGTTTTTTGACCACAGTAATTTCAAGAAATGTTTAAAATTCTCCTAAACTGAAAATACCTTATCATCTTTATAATAAAATACAGAAGTGTAAAAAGTTTGTATATAATGTTATTACATATGAGTAATAAAAACCATGGGCAAGAAGAGTTAGCATCTTTTTATTTTCCCTCTCAATTTTCTTTTAAATAAATGCTTTCCATGTTTTATGTAATACAAGTTCTGATGTACTTTTGAAGCAAATTTTATTTCTCATGGAGCTAAGCTGAAAATCTACGTATTATAAAAATTCAATTATTTAAATAGTGGTAAAGAAAATGAATATTTACAAGTGGCAACCATTTTGGATTTTAAAGTGATAGCATTCTCATTGGGATTCCAGGGACCTAAAAAGAGGTAGCAAGGCAGGAAGCAGGGAGAGGACAGAAAAGGCAAAGGGCACTGGAATAGATTGAACAGTCAGCCTCAAGGACCCAGGTGAAGAGAGGGAGCCCAGGCCACACCCCACAAGGAGCGAGTTGGGAAGGCAGGGAGAGCACAGAAAAGGCAAAGAGGGTAGGAACAGTTCGAGGAGTCAACTGCAGGGAGCCAGGTGAGGAGAGGCAACCCAGGCCACCCCCCACAAGCAGCGAGGTGGGAAGCAGGGAGA